ATATTGGTCACTGAGGTTTTCTGTTTGGAATTTCAGAACTGTTTATTTGTAAATTATGAGTTTGTTTATTTATTTTGACCTGTTAAAGTGAGAATAATAAGTGAGATGGGAAAATCTTTGTTTTTTATTTAGTTGCATGATAATTCTGCACACTAATAGTTGCCTAATAATGGTGTACATGTAGATATTCTCTTAAGAAAGCCAAAACTTCACTTTTACTACTTAAATGTTCAGGTTTGCGGGTTTGTTAACATTTTGGATTGACCAAGAGCACTGTAGTTGTGCAATAACAAAATTAATCCTCAAAAATACAACTTGTCTAATAATTGTGCACACAGTGTATTTTCATTACTGTGGTATGCACATTGAGAAGGTGAGGGCTCAAGGAGAGCATTTTCTGATCCTTCCTGCCCCCTCCTTTCTCATCATCCTCTTAACTTCCTACTTCTCCTTTAATTTTTCTTTGCCCACCGTACACTTCAATGATGTACAAGTTCTGATCACATTTCACAAGAAAGAAATTGTGAACAAGGGAATACTTCTCTTAGTATCCAAGCTCAGAAGCATTAAAGTCACTTAGTCTCTGCCAGTCTGATGACCTTCACGAACAATATGAGTATACTTAGAAAATCTCTTTCCCACAATATGACAAAAATGAGCTGATGGGTCCAAGGATCCTGTTGCAGACAACTGCACGAGCACAAAAAAAATTGTACTGATGATCAAAACTGTGAGAGTTGGACAGATTTTTTTTTTAGGGCTACAACTATTGCTTATTTTCTTTATCGCTTAATCTGCCAATTATTTTCTTGATTAATCACTTAATGTACAAAAATGATGCTAAAATTTTATAAGAGCCCAAAATATCTTATTTAAAGCACTAGATTTTCCCGATCAACAATCCAAAACACCCAAATGTTCTGTTTACAAAGATATAAAACAGAAAAAAAATCATCACATCCAAGGACTGATGGGACTTCTGCCTGTAAAATTACTGATTATCAAACTAGCCGCTTCATTTTCTGTAGATCAACTAAGTCATTAATTGAGGAATTGTTGTAGCACTACTGTTTAAAATTTTACATTTGTTTAAGAAAGGAACAGTTTGTGTTAATGAAAGGCTATAATGAAGTGAAAATGATGCCCTTTCAAATTAAGCCACCTTAGTGTGCACCTGATATTATGTATATGCATGTATACTGTAGGAAAGCTGACATGCAACAATGCTCTTACAAAATTACACGTAGGTATCAAATAGTGTGGGTATCCATGTGGTTTTGTCTCTGCACACACACTTGGGAGAATCATTAAGGGCCAAGGGTGTTATTAGCACTGTCGGCCCCATCTGCCATCTGTGTTTCTTCAGTTACAGTGCTTTCCACAGCTCCACCCATGAACATC